GTCCGCGCACGACCGAGTCGTGAGCGAGAATGATAAATCGCTGCAAACCATCATGGAATATATCCATTACCGGAGCATAGCCTAGCAAGCCATTGAGTAGCGAGACAGCACGATGCGTCGGAGAGTTAGCGGTGTGCTGCGTACGCGCATGCGTAGTACTAAGAAGCTGCCGCTGGCGACGCACCCCTCCACACATACATCCGCGCATGTAGCCATCAGGCACATATAACGACACTGATTCCAGTGCAGTGGAGTTATCAATTTTATTATGCAATAGCTGATAATAATGCACCATAAGAGTCATCTTCCGTCTGAGCTCAAGAGTATCTAATCCGACCATACCAGTCACATAAAGTGATGGATACAAGAACGGATAGTATCCATACATTTTCTTGAATAGGAACCTGCAAAATTTTGCACTACATGAAAATATGTTAGGACACTAACGAGTCCTAGCATAGTTTCATCACTTTTTGTATGAGCATTAAAGTGGGCTTAGAAACGAAGTAAACCACATACAAAAAACTTCCTTTAAACACGAATAAATCACAGTCATGTAACTAAATCACATGGATTTGTAGCAAGGATTTACTCAAAAGACTCTGAGCAGAGATTGTATTCGAGAAAAATTGCGCAAATATTTTACACTGAAATGCCAAAATAGTGCATAATCTTCGTAGAATATAGCAGGCTCTGGCCTGAATGTGCATCCACTGTGGTCGCTCAGCGGATGTGCGCCGGATATTCATAAGGATGTCACTCTCCTTCCTGAACGTCAATCTGTATAGAATATCGACGTTTCTAGAACACAATGGAAACTAGAAAGTTCTACAACATTAGGTGACTCAAAATATTACATTTTGTGGTAATACAAAAAGACATTCTTCGAGACGATAAGGTTGAATCTTTCATAAAATGACGTCTTATAAATCTATATACTCGTATTATTACGAGGTGAAGCAAAAACTTTGTACCCCTTTTTACGAAAATTGGCCCATGGAGGAGTATGAAATTTCCCAGACTTATAGGAAATACAGAGAGAGAGTGCAGACTGAATTTTTTTTTAAATTATGCCTATAAAATACATCAGATCAATAAAAGAGACATGATACACACTACCATGTATTTGACACACACACGCGTATAATACTCTTCGTTTATTGTCAAACTCTACTGGTGGTAGGACCTCTTGTGAGTTCGCACGGGTAGGTACCACCGCCCCGCCTATTTCTGCCGTGAAGCAGTAATACGTTTCGGTTTGAAGGGTGGGGCAGCCGTTGTGACTATACTGAGACCTTAGAACAATATCTCAAGGTATGTGGCGCATTTACGTTGTAGATGTCTATGGGCTCCAGTAACCACTTAACACCAGGTGGGCTGTTAGCTCGTCCACACATCTAAGCTATAAAAAAAAAAAAAACTTTTGTTATTGCTTAAAGTTTGTGGTCAAATTGAGAATAGTTTAATATTGTTTGTTTTTAATATTATTTGTCTATAATGTAGTCTTGGCGAAATCTGTAATTATAGAAATATAATAGTATTTGACAATAGAACCATAATAATGTTCAAAGTTCTAATTTAAATTAATTATATTCGAATTTCGTCTGCCGGAGGACCACTAGTATTCATTATTATCTCAATTGAAGCATTAATGATATTAAAAGTATTGTGCTGGCTAATGGCTTTGTAAAATTTCTCGGTGCTCTCTTTTTTTGTATTGCTTAGGCTTTTGAACTTATTTACGGTCCACCTGGTATCAAGTTGTTAGTGGAGTCCATAAGAATCAACAACGTACATAAATGCCGCCCACTAGTAATTATTCTGTTTTTTTTATTGCCCTTGTAGGCAGACGAGCATACGGCCCACCTGATGGTGAGTGGTTACCGTCGCCCATGGACTTCAGCAATGCCAGGGGCAGAGCCAAGCCGCTGCCTACCGCTTAACACTCTCCACAAGCCTCTTTTGAAGAATAATATGTATAATGTTTACGTGTTTGATTTTTAATACATGATGTTATTCCTTTATCGTAGAAGTCATTCGTGAGCATAATATGTTAGATTTGTATTTCATTGGTAAATCAGAAAAATTAGTACCTTCCTGCAGTATTCGAATACTGACACAGACGCATCATTTGATACAACTGCGCCGAGCGTCTTATCCTTTTGGCAACGATGACTTCGTTTAATTTATAAATTAGGTTTAACAAAAAAAATATCCTTTAATTTCATACCAACATTAAATGTTTTTTTTTTGACTCGTTCAAGTTGTTTATTCTATTTAGAAGGCTAGAAATCCCTAAATTGTATCAAATTAGAATCTCAGCTCGTTTTTCAACGTGGGTAGAGATAGCCGTAGCCACGAGTGCCTCTTAAGAGAAACTTATATACCTATCTTTCATAGCCTCGTCTTTCTTGCAATCATGTTATGACATCCACAAGCAATATAGCGAACAGACAACGTAAGAAAACAGCCGCTTTCTTGCTCCCACTGTGCATCTAATATGAACACTCAGCTACGTGAGAGCCAAGCATCTGCGCAAAAGATTTCCTGCAACGTCGGAACAAACAGCTTAGAACCGATTACTCACAGGAAACCTTCGAATGTGGACACGTGGATTAAGCGGATTGCATCACTAGATAATACCGCAAGTAAACGTTAGTGATTTTTGAAGTGAAACTTCTTTATCGACGTAGGGAGGAAAAAACGTATGTAACGTTTTCGGTTACGCGCCATCTTAATTTCTTCCGTTACGCGCCATGTTTAATTTATTCTATTTAGTTTGTTATCAACAGATGTCACTCCAAGTAAATTCATAGATTCCTGAATCGCGGTGACGAGATGTTACACAGTTGATAGACGTTCTCGTATTTCTCTTACTAAATCATACCTACCTGGCGTCGGGATACCGTGATCATGCAGGCGGTTTCCCCGGGGTGCGGCTGCTCCATTGCACTGCGGAGTGGTTGACCCTTGCGATTATTTTTATATTTTATAAGTTTCACTTCTACCGTGTGTGACTTGCACACACACATATTTTTTTTTTCGATCTTATAAGTCAATGTTATGCAACGATAACTTGTAAACACGTGATATTTCCACGAAAAAACCTCACACATTTACTTCTGCAATTATTATAACTTGTAATACATGAAAACAAAGTATCAATTAAATTTGGAAACAAATACGTATATCAGTAAATAACTACAGGCGAAAGTAAAGCAATCCCTAACCAATGTTCCTTTGTGTGACACGAATAATATTAATATTGTGTACATGAAACTTACACACACCTAGAGACCCATATTGGAAGGTTGCCTTCGAAATTGTATTGATGTTGACAGTGATGGCTTCGAGTAGCCCACACTGGGACCACCAAGTACATATATTGCTTATCTTTTATATCAGTAAAAGGAATAAAAGGTACCCTGTTGACCGAATAAAACGGAAGCTAGCACCTGTGTCCGACTCGTTTCTAGTGCAAAGCTTTTGTGCTTTTAGCTTTAAGTTATTGAAAGACAATTGAGGCTATTAGAAACATTAACACTATTCGAGAGCTTCAGAAGATGTTAATCTTAATACAAATATTACTGACCTAAAAAGAATCTTTTTTTTATTGCTTGGATGGGTGGAAGAGCTCACGGCCAACCTTGTGTTGAATGGTTATCGGAGCCCATAGTCATCTACTAAGTAAATGCTGCCACCCACCTTGAGATCTAAGTTGTGAAGACTCACTTTTAATAGTACAATGGCTGCCCCGCCCTTCAAACCGAAACGTTTACTGCTTCATGACAGAAATAGGCAGGGTGGTGGTACCTACCCGCGCGAACTCACAAGACGTCCTACCACCAGTAACTACGCAAATTATTTGGCTTGGCTTGAAACGAAAATTTGATACCATCTGAGGTACTAAGCACATAATTACTGTTACCACTCTCTTTTTTTTTAATCGTTTAAAAAATCGCATGCGCTCACGGCCCTCCTGGTGTTAAGTGTTTATTGGAGCCAATAGGTATCTACAACGTAAAAGTCGCTACCCATCGTGAGATATGAGTTCTACGGTCTCAATTTTTACTGTACAACGGCTGTTCCACCCTTCAAAAATTCATTATTGATTCAAGGCAGAAAACAGGCAGGGTGGTGGTCCCTACCCGTGCGGACTCACAAGACGTCTTACCACTATTTGTATTTAATTAATTTTTCTTTCTTTCTCTGTGTTGTAGACAGACGTCTAGCTAGTGCTTACCTGTTTTATCAACTCCCTAGAAAGCTTGTTGAAAAATAAAATGGAAAACTTGAATAATATATCATACAATGTTATTTATTATACTTTCCCCAAAAATGGTGCCGATGTATGAAAGCAATTATTGCGGGCGAGCTGTTACATCGTTCTATTTTGTAGCTTAAATAGCCTAACCAATTCACAGCTTACACGTTGCAACTGCAGTTGATAAGCTTCTCAGCAGGAATACCATTGGTTCATAGCCCTCATTGCCATTAGGAATTAATTTAGGTTTAAGTGGAGGAATGTATTGAACTGGAGAAGAAATAAAGGTAAACGGTAACTTAGTAGCAATAACAACAGTATTAGCTCCATGAAACCCGAATCACAGATCCATATCTTTTGGTTAATAATAAGCCAGACGTGTAGATAGTAGTTCTGGTAGTAGGAACACTAGGTGGTTCTTACTGGTAGTCGGACCTCTTGTGAGTCCGCACGGGTAGGTACCACCACTCTGCCTATTTCTGCCGTGAAGCAGTAATGCGTTTCGGTTTGAAGGGTGGGGCAGCCATTGTAAATATACTTGAGACTTTAGAACTTATCTCAAGGTGGGTGGCGAATTTACGTTATTGATGTCTATGGGCTCCGGTAACTACTTAACACCAGGTGGGCTGTGAGCTCGTCCATCCATCTAAGCAATAAAAAAAAAGTAACAAGCCAGACGTGTAGATAGCATAGTTCATACAGATGGTCCGGTTTTATAGCCTGACTTATTTTGCAGGGAACGGTCACGCCACTGACGTGGACGTGCGGCTTACAGCTCCCAGCTGGGTCGCACGAGGGGGCTCTGCGACTCTTCGCTGCCTCCACCAGGTTCCACCCCAGCTCCTCTACAAAGTGGAATTCCTCACATCAGAAGCTAAACTCCTGCAGTATGTGCGAGAAAGAGTCCCTCCTTTTACCAACTACAGTTTTCCTGGTGGAAGAATTAATGTAAGTTTTTGAATGTGTTTTGTTATTATGATTACTTTAGAGACTGAATAACAAATATGTATAAGTACTAAAAGAAGATAATATTATAGATAAGAAGATAATTTTATTTTTGTTCCACAACAAAAATAGTACCTAGACTCACAATAAAATGTTAACGCTCATTTTGGAATAAATAGTAGAGCAAAAAGTTTGAAAATTAGATAAAAACACTGCTAGACCTACTAATGCGATTATTGATGATGATCGATGATTATCTTGAGATGATAAGATAAAAGGAAAGGTTTTTCCGCAGAATCTACGGGCTCCAAATAGAATGGTTTTGAATAAAACCATAATATTTGTGCCTCAGATATAATAATTTACTAATAAATTATAATTAAAACGAATTGTACCGTTTATTCTTTATTTGTTTTCTTTTTGTTATTTTCGAAATGTTAAACAGTTTTTGCGTCCAGGAATAAGAAAAAAGAATTTGAAGGCGCAAAATGTTTTCAAGCCAATTTATGCTTATGCCCACTAAAATACATATTTTGTGATTTGTATGTATATATTATTTCACTAATACTATGATTTATTTGTTTCTTCAATTACTAAGCTCTTCATGCAGATTCTGCGATAAAAAAGCCATCATTAATACGCAGCGTGAAGGTTACAGGAAATATTCAAGCGCTTAAATAGTTGTCAAAAAATATTTGTACCATGACGTGGGCATTTTTCTAATTAATATAATATCAGTAAGATTTCCATTATTTAACGAGTCGTCTGTATCTATAGAATAAGAAAAATAGTTAGTAGCTTCATTTAGATAAAAAAGATATGTGAATAGGAACGAAGTAAGTTCCTTATTATAATAAAATTAATTTTAAGTTCTATTAGAGGTGTAAAGAAAATAAAACTGGAGGTTTCGCATCACTTCACGGTCATTCGGTAACGTGCGAACTTATTGTGGTACACTTCATTCACGGTTGTTTGCATAAGAGTTAGTGTATTGCGCAAACGAACGCTCTGAGATCGTGGTCAATGAATGATAAAAAAATATGTTATTTTTGTACGTTATTACAAAATTAAGTCGTACACTGTGTGCATTACTAATAAAAATCTTACGTTACGGACGTTTTTTCCCGGCTACCCACCCAATTACCCACCCTTCCGCATCGTCCCATAAGGACCTTCGTTTCAAAATCACTAATATCAAAAGGCACCCAAATTTTGAAAAAAAAAATTATTTATCTTTAACGCTTCCTTGTTTGAAACGAAACAACTTACAGCGACCGCGCTCGGATTTGCATTTTTCATCTGCTCCTGACATGTGCAACGGGCATTAACTTCCCGGCTCCTCGCCGGCTACGCGTTCAGGAAAACTCCGAGATTTATGTAGATTTCCGCCGGGGAACCTTTATTTATGAGGCTAGTTTCAATTGTTGACGGGACTTTCATGACAATAGAAATAGTTGGGTCGCTTTTGAAATACCCTAATGAGGGCTTATTGAATTTAGATTTATGTGGATATTTGCGTTTTAAATGGGTAATCACTGAAGTTAGGCGCTTAATTTGCAAGGTTATAGTGACTAAACGGAATCATACGTGTTTTTGTGCTATGCATAAACGCATGCGCTCCGACAACTTCAGGATATGGGCTCCAGTTACCACTTAACACCAGAAATATCCTAATGAGACCTTATTAAATTTAGTTTCAAGTGGATATTTGCGTTTTAAGTGGGTAATCACTGAAGTTCGGCGCTTAATTTGCAANCGCTTAATTTGCAAGGTTATAGTGACTAAACGGAATCATACGTGTTTTTGTGCTATGCATAAACGCATGCGCTCCGACAACTTCAGGATATGGGCTCCAGTTACCACTTAACACCAGAAATATCCTAATGAGACCTTATTAAATTTAGTTTCAAGTGGATATTTGCGTTTTAAGTGGGTAATCACTGAAGTTCGGCGCTTAATTTGCAAGGTTATAGTGGCTAAACGGAATCATACATATTTTTGTGCTATGCATAAACGCATGCGTTCCGGCAACTTCAGGATATGGGCTCCTAACGCAAGGAGAACCATAAGCACGTGAACGGATTTTGTACAATAAGAAAATCTATAAGTTAATACTCATTTGTTGGGGCAATAAACTATAGCGCTGAATTATTCTACACACATTCTCCACAAGGAAAGTATTTACTGTTAGACATATATGTAACAGTTGCTCTGAATACAACAACTATCAGTGGTTTACCGATAATATTTTTCTACAGATGTCCCTGGCAACGGAAAACTCGATTACAATTGAGAATCTAGAGCCTTCAGCGTCCGGCCTTTACTGGTGTGAAGTGTCTCTAGAGACCCCAATCTTCACAGCTGCCTCGCCTCCTCACCGTCTGACTGTTGTCTGTAAGTAAAATATATTATTCTTTCTCGAAGATAATTTCGTCAACAAATTCCATAACGTTTTGTATTGCAACGAATTACCTTAAACATTTATTATTCCTTCTCGAAAAAATATTTAATCCACAAATTCCATACCTTTTTGTGCTGCAACGAATTGTCTTAGAAATCATTGATACACTGGATGTAGGCTGCGTAGGATCGGTCATTGTAGCAAGCCTTAGGAGAGACTTAAGTCCAACATAACGTGAGTGACCAGGCGTAAGTGACCAGTTCGTTTAGCTTGGCTCTCTTTTTTGTGGCGAGGGTGGCAGCGAGAAGGAGATAGCTAGAAGAACTAAAATATCCAGAGGAGCAATGACTAAGCTCATTAGGATATGGAAAGACCGCAATATATCCCGCAAAATCAAAGTGAGGCTGGTGCGTACATTGGTCTTCTCAATTTTCTGTAGCCTGAAAAAGGCATAGAAAGATTATATCATACAACTTAATGGCTAGATTCCGAAACAATATTTGATACATTGAAGATAAGGAGACGAGCGTATAGTTCACCTGCTATTAAGTCTATGGAACCCATAGACATAACGTCCAGAACAGACAGACGGCCGAAGACTAAATTGTGTTGCTTATTGGCGATTCCACCCTTATATCTGGAATGTGTGATTGCTTTCCAGTAGAAATAGACAAGATGGTAGTACTTACCCACACAAGAGCACTTCGTCCTACCACCCATAAGTACGCTTTAGAAAATTTGCGGTGCACATAATATCATTGCATCATTATTTTTTAATACGCTTTAATTAGCTTCAGACGTATGTATGTTTGTAACGGAATCTTTGAACATGATTTTGGCCCCCTTCTAAACGTCACGCAAAAGCACCCCACGCTTTTTTTACAATAAAATCATTTTGTCATACACTATTTTTAATTAAAATTTATTTTCTATTTTTTTGTTGGATTTTCTATAAAAGCGTATTTTGTTAGTTTTTTGAATCTATTACTTATTTCGCGTTGTATCCATATTACCGAAGTCTTAGAAGAAGATAAAACAGTCTAAGCTGAAGAGACTACAGTCGAATGTTCATGTAATAATATTTCTACGCATTTCCTTTATTCCGAGTTGAATTTATTATTATCACTGCACGAAACACATTCGCGAACTGAATACAAAATGAAATGTTAAGATGAATAACTCATTCGTGAGAATGTTATCATCACAAAAGAAATTTAGGGTGAAATGTGGTGAAAAGTCATAATATACATTAGCTACGTGTTCAAAATCGGATTTTGTAATTATAAAGCTGAGTTTTATTGTTTAAATTACATCTTATACGTCTCTACGTGTTCTAGTGGATAAAAAGATGTATTTGTATTAAGTAAGTGTTTCAAGTCCCCTCTGTATGGCAGATGGGGACCGACGAGGGGGAAGCAAATGTAAGCTGCTATACATATTATATAGCTGTACATTTATATGTATAGTAGCTATACACAACCCTTATGAAGGAATGTGTATAGCAGCTTAGTACCGCACCAAATGGATGAATTACCCTAGTCCCCGTCCCCCACTGGTTCTGGACCGGAGGGTATGCTGGTGGTACGAATTTGCAGTGCTATCTAGCCATCTAGGCTATCCCCAGCCTGCCGGCTGAAAGGCTGGTGATCGTTACGCTGACAATCGTAAGTTTGGCATATCCTGAGGACAGGGTAGAGGGGAGATATACTATCCACGCGGAAACCATCACCTAGCTAGTGCTTTCACATTCGAGGTTCGGACGTGGGTTGTTGAGCGATTGGGAATCTTAGTCAGTACAGCTCTGAGACCAGCGACCCGTAGATGGAAATCCAAACTTTTCCTCCTTACACAAAAAAGACAAACTGTAAGTTCACACTCAAGGATATCACTATCCTGTCTATTTCTGACGCGACGAAGATAAATTCAGTTTTAAGGGGTGGAATGCGTTTTAAAATGTATATTTTAATTGGGACTCCCAATTCACGTCTCTAAGTAGTGGCATTAATCTTGGATATTTCAACCTAAAATCACAATGCAATTGAGATTTTAACCTCGTGTCTTAAGTTGTACCATAAGCCCATTTACGAATTAACGGCATCGGAGAAGATATAATTTTAAAATAACAAAATGGTTAATGTCAATTTTACTCTTGGTAAATATGTGTGTTCTTCAAAAAACCAAATAAAACTATGGTAAGATACTTCGAAACTTTCAGCAATTCCGAACGGTACATTCTATTCTAGGCTTTCGTGCTCACGGAACACGGCTTATATTTCTACCGCAGTAGTTTCTTTCGTGAATGACATAATCATGACATTGTACATATTTTGCCGGGAAATGGTTATGCTTATGCCGGCACACTCATAAAATGTCAACTTTAGTTCATAAACTTCGTAGCGAACGAGTTGCTGAATATTTTTATCATTAAATGTTTTTTTATAGTTTCTATTTACATATCATATAGTTCTGTTGTTGACATATGTTTACGTTGCCACAAACGTTTAGCTATTTCATTCTGTTTCATTACTCTGTGGACATTTCATATATGAGCTTCGTGTATACAATCGTTATGATTATGATGATAATATGTGCCTGTTATTGTTGATATAAATAAATAAGCACTCGGGAACTGCCGCGGTAAAGCTATTGCATAGCTTTTCACCAACTTATGCAATTGTAATTACGCAATTGTAATTAGACAATAATAATTTAATATTAAAACAATAATAAAATAAGACCACGCTATATTTATAAACATTAACAAAAGTAAAACATTAACTGTCCCCTTCACACTCATAAGCTAGACCGCGCGATAGAGAGATGGGCAGACTTTTCATGATGCGTATGCAGTGCGACGTCACGTCGGGTGCTTATTCATATACACTACACAAGTGCAACGTGTGAATGTGTTGAACGCAAGCTACAGTAGACGGAGTGGGGGGGTGTTAGGTTTATTTTCGTTACAGAATTTATTGATTCGGTCGCCGCGCTCAAAACTCGCCAGAAAAGCTATGTAATAGCTTAAAAAATATATAAAATCGTGTGCTGTCGGATAAGCTCCGATAGAAGCGAAGCTCTTTATTGTCAACTTTTCAAGATGAGTCTACATGGTATGCCCCTGTGACCCACCAAAAATTGCATGCTCATAATCGTATCGCATGTATCGCAATAATCAACTTTTTCATGTCTACTGTCTTCTTTAACTTTGCTTCAATATATTTATGAAAACTTTATAATATTTAGTAGTAATGATAGTTTACTAATGCATACTAATGTGACCGCTTCATATTTTTGTGTCGTTCGTACTATTTACTAACAAATCCTAGTCGTCAACAGTTCTAAAATACCAGCAGGCTTGAATTGTGTTGGCGATGTTACTATCTAAAAGTTGTGCTACAACACAATACAACTAGGTAAGGTAAGGAGGTAACATAGATTCTAGATTATTCTAGAACTTTCTTCTTGCGTCATGGTTGGCGTGATTACAATTATGAAATAAAAACGAACACTTACATAAGACACGAAAATAAAAGAGCATGGGGTCAAAAGAATGAAAAATGAAATAAGATTAAGCTACGACGACAAAGTCTTTTTGTTTTATAATTTACTACATTGAAATCACTATACGACCACTTATTATGAGGGAAAAATATAAGTCTTAAATTATATTGTGCAAACACTGTGTCATTTTTAAATCTGGAACATTACACTGCGTCTCAGCATTTTCATTCCCTACCTATTCCCTGGTAGTCTAAGGGGCTATTCCAATTAAAACGCGGCATTTATAGACAGGGTTGTGATGCCTACCAATAATTACTCTATTTTTTTGCGATATTTCTTATGATATTTTTTATTCACTGTGAAAGTCTAGTGAGTATCTCGCCGGATTTTCGCAGTGAGTCGCGATTCCGATCCGGTGATACATTCAGCGAAGCACTGCTCTTGCTACGGCTAGTGTTAGCAAATTCGCCAGAGTAAGCCCTGTAAGCTCCTTTAGACGTTCAGTGTGTCTAGTATAACCCCTCAAAGCTACTAGCATAGATAGGTAGAATAAAAGAGAGTATTTCGTGATTATATAACGATACTGAGACCTTAGAACTCATATGTCAAGGTGGGTGGCGCATTTACGTTGTAGGTGTCTATAGGCTCCAGTAACCGCTTAGCACCAGGTGGGCTGTGAGCTCTTCCACTCATCTAAGCAATAAATACATAAAAAATATGTGAGTCGCAGAATAGTCGTATTGCTCGATACGAGTATAACAATCTTATTCTTTAGGACCCGATTTCAGTCACTTGTTCCGTACACTAATTAGAAATTACATTCCTTAACTAGATTTTTTATTACACGTTATCATAATATACATAGTGTATTTTTTTTCCTACCTATGCTGATAGCCTTGAGAGGCTATTTCAGCTTCACCCTAACGTTTGTAGGTGAGCTCACGGAGCTCAAACCGGAGAGTTGCTAACACTGACCCTAGCAAGAGCAGTGCTTCGCAGAATCTACCACCGGATCGGAAACGCGACCCACTGAGAAGATCCGGCCAGAAACTCAGTGATTCAGTGATGAATTAATTACCTGATTAACATTTTCGAAATCACTATTATTTCAGGCCTTAAAAGCATTGTGTGGAATAAAACATTAAATCCATAAATTTTGATTGTGGTTTTGGCAAACTAATTCATTATTGCTGTCAAAGTACTGGTTGAATGAATAAGTGAAACGTATGATGGTTCGTGTATGAATGAAGAAGTTCACGTGGTCTTCATGTGTGAATCTTTAACAGATGCCCAAAAACATCCCCCCATTATAACCTTCGGGAAACCAGACGTGGTCGTCGGAGGACTGCTTCGTGCCAATTGCACCAGCGCTCCGGCAGCTCCTGCTCCAAAACTGACATGGTACATCGACAATGAAAAGGTGAGTTACTCCTCTGTTATCAACTGTATCTACCGGTAGTAGGGCCTTTTGAGTCCGCGCGGGTAGGTACCACCACCCTGCCTGTTTCTGCCGTGAAGCAGTAATGCGTTTCGGTTTGAAGGGTGGGGCAGCCGTTGCAAATAAATTGAGACCTTAGAACTCATATCTCAAGGTTGTAGATGTCTATGGGCTCCAGTAACCACTTAACACCAGGTGGGCTGTGAGCTCGACCACCCATCTAAGCAATAAAAAAAAGCACACCCCTTCTGATATCGAAACGAAATTAATATTTAAACTACCCCATTTAAACAATTAAATTAATTAAATTCGCGGTAGGCAGCGGCTTGGCTCTGCCCTTGGCATTGCTGAAGTCCATGGGCGACGGTAACCACTCACCATCAGGGCCGTATGCTCGTCTGCATACAAAAGCAATAAAAAAAAAAAATTAAACAGAAATTATCCGTTTTAAAACTAAACGCAAATGATTAAATTTAGAATTCGTCAACCACGAATATTGCAGATGGGATTTTCTAAGTAATTACGCTGTGACAGTCTGAGGTATCAGCTCATTTTGGAAAAGGGTTTTTTTGCTCAAAATTGTTTGGGAATCCCCGCTCTGTATACTTCGAACTCATGTATAGCAGCATCCTCGTTGTAATGAATGTTCGAATGCTCCAAGCGCATTACATAACAGAATACAAATTCAAAAAAATATATAAAAGAAAGAAAACAAAATTCTCAACGAACTTTATTAACTTCATAATTCTAATAAAATGTATTCTTGAAATTAATCAATACTTTAAATGACAATGGTCCGGATTAAATAAACTTCCTAACAGTGATTGGGTTTGAGGAGCTAGCTACTTTAATAATTCAGCGCGAATATTTGAATGAAACTCTCGTAACAAAACTGTTAAGTCATCATTTGGCTCAATATTTCAGCTATTAAAACTCGTAAAAAAATTACTTTGAACACAACAACAAAGTTATATGTCATAGGATATTTATTAAGATTTCTAATACGGAATGATCAAAACCAGAAAACGTCCTGAATATGGTAATGAGTGGGATAAATTATTTGTACCTGTCTCACTTTAAAAAGGCTTCAGCAACACCTGTCACCTCAAAAACAAATTTGTAACGTAATAAATATACTAAGTAAAATCATACACAAATGCACATTTTAATTTCTAATATAATTGTTTTCTTTTTTACATCTAGGTTCCGGAAGACTCCATCAAATTCTTCTCTTACCGTGTCTCAAGCTCCACCAGGACCAAGGGAGGTGGTGGTTACCGGCACAGGAAGCACCAACATAGATATATAGCTCCCGAGTTTAACTACACGGCCAAATACTGGGCTTTGATTAGCGAAACAACAGCATCACCGCCCTTGAACCTAACAAAACACCACAAGTGTACTCTCAAAGAGGCGCAAACCGAGGAAATGGCGAAGGTAACCTTATAAAGATCAAATTTTTAAATACATAAATTTACTTCAATTAATACTTTAGATCAGAAAAAATGATCAACCAATTGAAATGTTGCTATTTTAGTCTTATAAATATATTTTTTACTCTGCATCATCAGTACATACGAATATATTCATTATTGATTTAAATTAAATAAACTCAAAGATAGCTAGTAGCTGGTAGGCAGCGGCTTGGCTATGGCCCTGGCATAGCTGAAGTCCGTGGGCGACGATAACCACTCACCATCAGGTTGGCCATACCCCAGTGTGCTTACAAGGGCAATAAGACTTTGGACTGATGGTAGGACCTCTTGTGAGTCCGCACGGGTAGGTACCACCGCCCCGCCTATTTCTGCCGTAAAGCAGTAATGCGTTTCGGTTTGAAGGGTGGGGCAGCCGTTGTGACTATACTGAGACCTTAGAACTATATCTCAAGGTGTGTGGCGCATTTACGCTGTAGATGTATATGGGCTCCAGTAACCACTTAACACCAGGTGGGCTGTGAGCTCGTCCACACAACTAAGCAATAAAAAAAAAAAAAAACTGAAAATAAAAATGTTGAATTTTTTTTAGAATACCTCAAACAATAATATGTCTGAAATTAATACGCTCAGTAAAAAAAAATCACTAATCATCATTAAAATTTGTATCCTTAAAAACAAACGTTGAAAACGTATTCTAATTTTATAAATACGCTTCGACTCTTAACTTCATTTCTTATCGATCAAACTTAATAAAGAAAATAAATATCTCAGCCCAAATTAATCCCTAAAGAATTGTTCAAAAGTTGTTACAGTCACAGCAAAGCCAGACGACGACTCAATAACAATCGTAATGAACAAACGTAAGCTCCCAGATCGGAAATGTATCGAAAATCGAAACACAAAGGCGAAAAAAAATCTCGAAGCCTATTGAATCGACTTCAGAGTTAATTCCATGAGGATTGTTTGAGCGGCTTCTCCCCCATATTTCTAAATTGTATTCAATTACAAACCAACGTTGACGTTCTAAACCAAATTTTACCAATAAAAGCGATGTTATGCTTCGTTTAACCTTTGTATTCGAGCCTTAATAAATTCCCTCGTTATTCAGAACGAAATTATAAGCGTAATCAAAGAGGGGATCGGTTACCGTAAATGGCTAATTGTGGTTGTTAAGAAAATTAACAGGGGCTCTCTTCCGAGTGTAAAACTACATTCATATTATATCGTTTTGGGATTTTTCTTCATACTAGAGGTCCCGCAGTAGTCGAAATTCGATTATAATTAATTGGAATTATAAGTTTGTACACTATTATGATTCTATTTTATACTTCTATTATCACAAATTTCGCCAAGACTACACTATAAAAAAAATTAACAAAGACAAACAATATTTAATCTATTCTCAATTTGACAACAGACGTCAAGAACAAAAGTTTGACAATAAATAGTATGCATGCGTGTGTGCGTCAAATACATGATATGTAGTGTGTGTAATGTTTTCTTTATTGATTTAATGTATCTTTTTTGTATTATTTAAAAAAAATATTACCATTGTGCACTTCTTCTCTATATTCTCTATAAGTGTGGAAAATTTCATACTCCTCCGTCCGCACAATTTTCGTAAAAAGGGATATAAAGTTTTTGCTTCACGTATTAATTATTCTTCATATATCGTGTCATTCTGATACATTTCATTATTTCAACGAGAACTTATCTAATTTTTTTCTTAGTAACTCAGATGATAACTTCACAATTATTAAGGTAGCATTGTAGTATATCGTTTTAATTTTCGCTGGCAAAAGTAGATGATGGATAAGTAATTTGTGTTTTTTCATCATATTCTTACACTGTACTTAATTTTTTATTGGGGCCGCACTTGAAACATTAGATCAAAGTCTCAATTAAATTTCATAATAGCTTTATCATTTTTTAAGTCGAATCGCAAAACGGCTTTGTGGCCTAAATAACGGCTGTACCTACCTTTATGAGCTCAAATTGTATATTACTACTACCAGTAGATAATTACCCAAATTGATTTATTTAATTTTGATGGGCTTTATTTTTGCTATAGGACGTTATTCCTTCATCAGGGATCTCGATCGTATACATGACTATGTATTTTCTGAGAAATATTGATTCATTTGAGTCTCAGTATAGTCACTTCGCTAGATATTAATACATCAGGTTTCTGTCTTATTCTTCAGGTCACTAGTAAGGTCACGATGCTTTCATCTCTTTCATTTAGTTTAAAGTTTCCGTCTCTCAGATGCAAGAGAAACCTCGTCCTCCGCCCGTCGTGCCAATATCCCTCTGGGTGTCAATAGCAGAGCTACGTGCTCCAGCGCACGGTAGACTCCAGCTGACCTGCACAGCAACCATACCTGATGAAGTGGGACCTGGTGAGAAGTACGCTGATATTAAGAAGCAAACTGTTACCGGTGAGTAATTTGTGATGGTATCAAATATTGTGGTACCGGTGATCAAATGAAAATGTTTACTTTAATTTTTATCAGGCGTATAGTTACGCACGGGTAGGTACCAACACCCTGCCTATTTCTACAGCAGAACAGTCATGCTTTCCGGTTTGAATGGTGAGGCAGCCGTTGTGCAATTGAAGCCCAGACCGCATGTCTCAAAGTGAATGGCGGCATTCATGTTGTGATGTCTGTAGAATACGGTAAACACTTAACACTAGGAGGGCCATGAGCTTGTTCACACAGCTATGAAAAGGTTACATAAAAGTATGTAGATAAGTTATGGATCAAGCTAGTACAAGTATAACCGGTACCTATTATGTAACACACGCTATTTGACAGACGCCTGAATCTTGCTAACGATGTTTTCAAGATAAATTTGCAAATATAGGTATACAAGCTCCGTAAAACTCCGACCCTAAACACTTAATTACGGATCCTCCCGATCCATTAATGGTGCTTTTAGGTACCTCAAGCACCGGTTACCGTCCTCGCCGAACCCGTCGCTTGCGACGAAGGGCTCGACGAGTAGGTTGACCCATAGACACAGCCCACTGAGTTTCTCGCCGGATCTTCCCAGTGGGTCGCGCTTCCGATCCGGTGGTAGATTCTGCGAAGCACTGCCCTTGCTAGGGTCAGTGTTAGCAACACACCGGCTTGAGCCCCGTGAGCTCACCTACACGTCAAAGCTGAAATAGGCTCTCAAGGCTATCAGCATAGGTAGGAAAAGAAAAAAGAAAAACTCTGAATAACATTTGGACTGTCGCACTTTCACTCGCAATTAATTTCAGCCGCTTGATGAAAGATCTCCCCTTTGTCGTTATTTCCAAACTACCAATAATGACAATAATATGTCTTTCCATTAGGTATTTTTATTTTTATATGCACTCATACAGTCGAAATATGGCGCATCTAGTATTAAGTTCTTAATGTACCTTATACATTATTATATATTAAACCTTATCACAAAATCAATATACGGCATATTTCTAAATCCGATATGGATATAGCAATTGCATTGAAATCCGCTATCCGTATATTTGAAACCAGAATGACAGAGTATACATTTAAATTAGACTGCGGTAATAAGTTGAGCGAGGTCGAATGTATCATAAATTATTTCCAAATAAAAATTGATAAAATAAAATAAAATGTTTTGAAAATAGAATAATTCGTACTCCTGTTCACTGTAAACAAATTCTAAAACATAGTATTTTAAGCTGAAAAACGAACAAATATATTTTCTACGAAACATTAAAACAAAAACCTTTTTTAAATTACCTTTTCACCAAACTATACAGCTTTCTAGGCCCCATTGAAATACAGAGAACTCACAAATGCGCTTTTAAACGTCTACGGACATTTTCGCAACTTCGCGAAACCCTAACTGCCTTCATTTAATTCTATTCAGAAACTTTCTACTTTAAACTAAAATGTGGATAAGTTGATTCCAGAAAAATGGGCTAGTTTTCTGAAGGCGTATTAAATTAAAGAAATTACTTAAAATAACAAACCTCTTTTGTTGAATTTGAAGTTTGTACATTTATTCGTTTTAATATTTATTTGAGAATTGTATATTATATATGTATGAGTGTCTCACCCGATTTCTAGTAATCAAAATTTGTCTGTTTTACTCGGAGATATTATTTGCAAGCTTAATCGAATTAGTCTTAATTTTTAAATCAATTTTGAAGTTATTTAAATGAATAAATTTTAAGCAAAAAGAAGAATATTTTTAAATTTGGGACGCATATTCTATATGAATGCAGCGGAAAAGCTGTCTACAGGTTTCATACATTAAATAAATAATAGTTTAAAAAACTAACAAAATATAACGCTTTTATAGAACTTCCAACTAAAAAATAGAAAATAAATTTTAATAAATTTTGATTTAAAATAGTGTAAGATAATGATTTTATTGTAAAAAAAAAGCGTGGGATGCATGGTATCAGTACTTATAAATATTTTATGAACAGATATGAGTAGAAGGGTTATTTTGATAATACCGTGAAAAGCACCCCAGGCTTTTTTTATAATAAAACCATTTTTTCTTACACTTTTTCTAATTCAAATTTATTAAAAAAAAATGAATTTTTTAGTTGGATTTTCTATAAAAGCGTATTTTGTTAGTTTTTTTAAACTATTATTTATTTTTCATTTTTTTAGAAACTGAATTTCAATTTTTCAATAATTTTTTTTAAATATTGAAATGTTATCGGTCCTCGAAATTTCTAGTTAATCCGACGTTTTCAAGGAGGTCAAAATCATGTTCAAAGATTCCCATTACAAACATACCTCGTACATAATATACGTATGAAGCTAATAAAAGCGTATTAAAAAAAAAAAAAAAAACATTGCAGTGGCTGTCAACGAGTTGAGTGTGAAACGTCCACACTCTGAGACGAGCCAAGCCAACGCCACTGCCAACTATATACAAGGCCACCACCCACTCTGGCTTCTTGGCTACGGACTTCTACTTCGCAAACTTTCATTGCGATTCCGACTAAACTAAATCAATGAAACTAGATTTACACTTTCCCCGGAGGACGTCTTGCTCCAAATAAACACAACATTTAAAATGTATATTTCTTAGAAATCCTTTATTTATACAATTTATTATGTATTTAAATATATATTATAATATATTTTAAGCTTCGTCTCACTGTCAAGGTAAAAGGTTGTCCTAAATGTGATTTTTTTTGCTAAGCATTTTTGAAGATCGAATTAGCTATTTAAATTTTTAAGTACAGGACGTTCGTGTACTCGTAATTCGGAAGGTAATTATTTTGTAACATTATTGTGTTAAATTAAGCCTTTCAAATGTTTACCATTGGTTCAGTCCGCAAATATTTTGATGCTATTTTTAGAACACCCTGTACCTATAGTCTGTTCATATTTAATCAAAGTTATGTCGTTTTTAGAGTTTAAAACAATGTTATGATGTTAAATGATTTTATTAAGTCACAAATATTTCATCTCTCGTGAGCTTCTAAACATCAGTCAATTAAAACTAACCTAATATATTTTCTGCAACAGGGTTCACTTATTCGTAGAAGTTATAAACCACTCACCCTATATATTTTATTGCACTTAATTTTATTTATTCATTTTTCAAGTACTCCTTTAATAACTGTTTCTAAAAGACATTTAGCAAATATAAAAATGTGTGTCAAAAAATGATGATTCAAAATCATTTACAAGAAAAATTACCTTACTAATGTTGTCAGCATAGCAGATTTAAAATAGGTAGCTATCATTAAAAATCATTTTAACTTTACTCAAAGCTACACTTAAGTATCGTTCTATTCCAAACTCATGTCCTATAATTTCACTAACTTTTATTAAACATTTTATTAAATTATCCAGAAAGTCGTTCTACTGTTCGTAATTCTACTATTTATTAATATTTTGACGTCAATCTTGTAGTTGGGCAATTATGTCGTAATTGGCCAATTACAAGATAGACAAACAGTCAAATTTGTATTTATGGATTACTTTTAATTACAAATTTGTCTTCGCTAGTCGTTGCTTTAAATGTTCTTGTTAGAATAATAAAAATACCAGCGGTTTTGTTTTTTAAAAGGCGATCTATATAGCGCCCCATTTCTGCTACAGGATTGTAAACGAATTGTATAGAAAAAAGCGCGTGCGTATAAAGTACACATGTCAGAAGTGAAACTTTTTTGGCGAACTAATTTATAAGTCTTGCTTATATTTATACAAATCTAAAACTTTAGATTTCCGAGACTTAGAGGAAGGGAAAAAGGAAGATATGTTCCCGCCAAAAGTCTGTCAAATGTCAATCTCAAACTTCAGTGTTGACAGTCACATTATGTTTAGATTTCTAAATTGTAAATGACTAATATTTTGCCAATTGAATTGACTAATTTAATTTCATGCTATTTGATTAATGTTCCAGATTCTTTTCATTTCATTTCAATTCCTATTAACATTTTTCACAAAAAATTATAAAATATTAGGCTGTATGGTATGATACATTTGCCTTTCCCATTGGAAAAATACAACAACTACTGCTACTGACATTTGACAAGTACTTAAATTCAATAGTAGTTTGATGTCACTTCCGTTGCATACCTGCGTGATGTTCTGTAAAAATTTTACCCTCATGCGCATAAAGAAGTTTCACTTCAAAAACTTGCGCTTTTTTTGAACTCAGATAAATATTGTCACTGATATGGATGTAATAAATGGATGAGTTCAATTTAATCCTAATAAAATAAATCAAGACATTAAATCATATTTAAATCTACACCTTGAAGTCAGAAAATGATCTTAAACTATACTAGCAGCTGTAAATCGCCTTATGAAAAATCAACCATAGATATTTGAATTTCTATTCGAAGAAGATTATTAGATAGTATGACTATAAGCATATTAATATTGTGCGCTTACATAAATTAAAATCGAATGTCAGACGATCTCAACAAATGAGATAGTATTTTGTGAATGAAATTATTGTCTATTTAAAAAATAAAAATATTTCCGCAGGATATTTTCTATTGAATAAATTAGTGGTAATGCTGTGTAATTTAAAATTACGATTGTAATCGTAATTACCAGGTGCGATTCGGTTTACCGAGGTTATGGTGAATTAATTGTTTGTAGGTTTTTAATATTACATGCTTTCGTACTTGAAGCTATTTATCGTACAATTTCTTAATAATATTTTCGTAAAGAAAAACAAAATTGGATTAAAATATTCATATTTTTACTTAACTTTAAACTTATAACGGTTATTATAAACTTATAAATTTGTTGTTGCTCATTATAACTGTTCGTTTTAAATCTATTTGAACTATTTTAATTATTATCTTTACCGCTAATATTACAATAATAATATTAATCATTGTATATTTTTTAAGCTATTGCATAGCTTTAACCGCGGCGACCGAATCAAGAAATTCCGTAACGAAAATAAAACCTAACACCCCCCACTCCCCCTACCATGTAGCTCGAGTTCAACACATTCACACGTTGCGCTTGTGTAGTGTTTGAGTCTGCCCATCTCTCTCTCGCTCGGTCTAGCTTATGAGTGTGAAGGGGATAGTTAATGTTTTGCTAATGTTTATAAATATTTCGTGGTCTCAATTTATTATTGTTTTAATATTAAATTATTATTGTCTAATTATAATTATAATTGCATAAGTTAATAAAAAATGCTATGCAATAGCTTTGCCGCGGTAGTCCCCGAGTGCCACACGTGTTTTTTTTTATTGTACAACCTTCTTTACAATTTTTTTTTTTTTCGTTTTAAATACTTAAAAGTTTTTATCATCATTCCAGCAAATCGAATCGCTCTATGGTGTTGAAGTCTTCCTACAGCTCTTTACACTGACTATATAGTAGGTGTTTGCGTTGGGCTAAAACGTGTGATAAGTTAAAAAACAAATGTGTATATGGCAGATTATATTTTAAATGAATATAGATTAAGAAAGTGCTATTGTATAGATCAACTGTATGATGTATAGATAAATTTAGTAGTGTTAGTACAGATGAATGTTCGGTGTTCAACAATCTTTTAACTATTATTCGATTATTAGTATTTAAAATCCATTCATTTTATCGACTTGAATTTATGAGTACCAAGCCGCGTTCTCAACTCACCTGGTACCGCTACGTATGTTGGATCTTCCCTATATTTATTCCAGGCTATTGTGTTTTAATATGACAGTAGTGCGGTTGTAAATTTCATGAAAAAAGTTTTATCTAACACTTCTAATCTTTTCATGTAAAAAGTTCTATCTAAATCATCTCAGTTCCACAAGCGTGTCTCATAAATATTTATTTTTTGTATTGTGATTTCTTATATTACTAAAATTTAGGTGAGTTTTAAATTAAAAAAAAAAATTGGGTGCTGTTTCAAATGATTTTTCAACTCTGTTTCACATGTACAGTTCTATGGGTTTTTTCTTCTATGACCTATTTCACTTTGATGTGCTACTGCGTGCTGTTTTTTTAAATGTTAAAATATATCGTTGGAAATACTTAAAAAAAACAGCAATTCCTTCTTACCTTCTGTTTTATTTTAATAAATAGATTGTTGACACCAAAACCCTATTAGAATTCTGGCCATTCAAATAAAATGTAAACATGGATAATCATGATGTGAAAATGAATAAAAAGCTTAATCAAGCCAATGTGCAGTTTTATTAAACATTTAAGTAGCCTCATTACACACTTTAACATCGATAAACTTTTTTAATATAACTTTTAATAAAACTTTTTTGATTTGATTTGATTTCATTTGATATTTAGGTTGATATTCTTAAAAAAAAGTGATATTTTTTTAAATGTTTTCAAAGAAATCATTTGTTTTTTTTTATTGCCTTTGTATGCAGACGAGCATACGGCCCACCTGATGGTGAGTGGTTACCGTCGCCCATGGACTTCAGCAATGCCAAGGGCAGAGCCAAGCCGCTGCCTACCGAAGATACATGTCATATGATATAAAAACTGTTACACCATCTACTGTAAATAAAAGTAATAAAGCTGTGTTTTATATTAATATTTTTTTTTTCTGCAGTTGGGCAGATGGATACACCAAAAGCTTACAGAAATTTGCAAATCCATCTTAAATTACAAAACAATATATGAAATATAATAGAGCTCATTTTCATTCAACAACTATTTTTGTATTTTTTTTTTTATAGTTGCCACTTTATTCTGTACCCTTTTGCGAGACATTCAAAAGTGGGTGGAAATAGATTGGCCATGATTTGCTAGGCTTGCTTCTAGATTTTCTGTGATGTTCTACACCTTAGTCTTACTCTGGTAAAATATTCATATTAGAATTTAATGCCAGCCATACCTAAATTAAATTTCAAATGGCCGGTATTGTAAAACAGCAACTTTTAACGTAAATGTAATAACATACTTAATATACAAAATTTATAATACTTATGATATTACGTCAAGCTAAACAACATTAACTGTGCATGATATTATATTAGATATTATATAGCCAATCATTAGTATCTGATCTATAATGAGTTTGCAGTAACATTTTAGCCTCAAATGACGTGACCAAAGTCATGATTTACCAAGTTGCATGCAGCAGATCTCGCGGATCGTTTGGAACCTTTGGGTCTGCGGAGGGACTTCGGTTCCCTCTGTATTTTGTACCGAATGTTCCATGGGGAGTGCTCTGAGGAATTGTTCGAGATGATACCGGCATCTTGTTTTTACCATCGCACCGCCCGCCACCGGAGTAGAGTTCATCCATACTACCTGGAGCCACTGCGGTCATCGACAGTGCGTTTCCAGAGGTCTTTTCTGCCACGTACCATCCGGCTATGGAATGAGCTCCCCTCCACGGTGTTTCCCGAGCGCTATGACATGTCCTTCTTTAAAAGAGGCTTGTGGAGAGTATTAAGCGATAGGCAGNACCATCCGGCTATGGAATGAGCTCCCCTCCACGGTGTTTCCCGAGCGCTATGACATGTCCTTCTTTAAAAGAGGCTTGTGGAGAGTATTAAGCGATAGGCAGCGGCTTGGCTCTGCCCCTGGCATTGCTGAAGTCCATGGGCGACGGTAACCACTCACCATCAGGTGGGCCGTATGCTCGTCTGCCTACAAGGGCAATAAATAAATAAATAAAAAAAAAAGCAGAATTTCGTTAAGTTTGCGTGACAGTTTGAAATATTAAAAGTCGTCTATCTGGCTGTCTCTCTTAAAATATTGGCACTTTATTAATGTTTGATTTAGAACTCTACATTTTATCAACAAAGTGTTACACAAGATATCAAGCGGCGGATGTTACGTTCGGCACGACGTAGAGATATGAGGCAATGTTACAAATTACATCTTGTACGGGGTAAGGAGTTACTACGCTATATACGTAAGTACTTAGTAGATAAGTTGAGTGTAATAAAGTCGAAACATCCCAGCTTCATTAAGGTTTAATCTTACATGTGTGTAATTTACTAATCCGTATCTTTATCGAGAGCACTCGAGTTTCTAAATAGTGAATTTGGCCACCATAAATAAGTCGCCTATTTCTGCTGTGAAGCAGTAATGCGTTTCGGTTTGAAGGGGGGGCAGCCAACCTTAGAACTTATGTCTCAAGGTGGGTGGCGCATTTACGTTGTAGATGTCTATGGGCTCCAGTAACCACTTAGCACCAGGTGGGCTGTGAGTTCGGCCACCCATCTAAGCAATATCAAAAAATAAATAAAAAAATCATAATACATCGTGTTTGAGCAAATTGAATTTTTCCTCGAATTATCTAGGATCTAGCTGCGTCACGTCCCAATAATACTGTCGTTAAAAAGGATTCTCAAATTATAATATATTACACATCTTAATTTTTGTAAAAGTTAATTTTACCCACAAAAAGTCAGTATAAAACTCACTTCAAACTAACTAGTAATCTCAACGTCTGTAAATGTGAAAGCTAACAAACAAATAAAGATTAAAGGCTGTAGTCGACAAAGACGACTTTTATCGGAGCGAATGATTAATCGGATTGGCGAAGCGAGCTCCGAGTCTGAGTATCGAGTTGTTATCGATGTACTAGATACTCAATTATATTAGAGTTCGCTGGAATTTAATTGAATGCTTTTCATCTAATCATTTTAGCGTCGCATTCCGATAAAGTTTCTGTACAGGATTTTAAATAGACTTTAGTGTTTTTTTTTATTTTTGATTGCTGAGACGG